CTTGCTTGCCATTAGTTTTTGGGGAAACCCTACGTCTTCAGGCTCTTGCACTGCAAGCCAAAAAGGTTTTCTGGAAGTCAAGTTGGAATCTCGGTATATTATTTAGGTCTTTGTGTATTGAAAGATTCTTGTTCCCTCAAATGTAATGGCTTTTCTGAAGAACTATCATGCTGAGACAATTTTGGGTGGGTTGATACGTGCCAGGATTGAAAGCCATGAGGGATAAGCTAAATGAAAAGGGAAGGGAGGAAGAAAGGGAATGGGAGGAGGGAGGCCATATGGGGCAAGTGTGGAGTGAAACTGAGGGAGGGCGGTGGTAGGGAAAGAAACTATCTGTACAAATGGGCCTAAGGTAGAGTGATTGAAGTGACTCTCCCTCAGAGCTACAGAAGGAGTTGATGATAGAGCTGAGCAGTAAAATTCAGGAGTTCTTGGCTCCCAGTCTTGTACTTACACAATACAACACCTATCTTTTGCCTCTCACTCTAGTTGGAATATAAATGTACTTATGCTTGGGTTGTAAACACATCCTGTATCTACACAGGTATTTGTAGGATTTAATTATTTTGGACTTCTTTCCTTGGCTACACTTGCAAGTTACAGTGCTGTAAAACCTCCCCCAGCGCTATGACTCACTCCTCGTCCACACTGGCAGGGCACTTACAGCGCTGTATCTCCCAGGGTACACCGCTGCAGGTACTCTACATCTCCGAGAGGAATAACAGCTGCAGCGGAGTGGCTACGACTCACAGGTGTGAGTGTAAACCAGGGGTAGGCAACCTATGGCACGTGTGCCAAAGGCGGCACGCAAGCTGATTTTCAGTGGCACTCACACTGCCCGGGTTCTGGCTACTGGTCCGGGGGACTCTGCATTTTAATTTAATTTTAAATGGCGCTTCTTAAACATTTTAAAAACCTTATTTACTTTACATATAACAATAGTTTAGTTATATATTATAGACGTCTAGAAAGAGACCTTCTAAAAACGTTAAAATGTATGACTGGCACGTGACCTTAAATCAGAGTGAATAAATGAAGACTCGGCACACCACTTCTGAAAGGTTGCCGACCCCTGGTGTAAACGCTTGCAATGCTGTACTAATCACCTTGTCAAGTGGCCAATCCTCTCCATTGTTGTGACCAGCTGCAGGAATGCGGAAGTGCCGGTTTCAAAGCTAGTACCACAGAGAAAAGCAAACAGATTGCAGCTTGCTTTGAGTGAGTGAATGAATGAGCAGGGGGCCGGGAGTTCGGAACTTGCAAAATAGAGTGCTGACATGCTCCAAAAAGCACTTTCTCTCCCCACACTCCCTGTCACAATCCACCCCTCTCACTCCCCGCCTCCGTTTTGAAAAGCACGTTGCAGCCACATGAATGCTAGGACAGCTGCCCATAATGCACTGCTCCCAACACAGCTGGAAATGTTACAAGTGTGGCCACACCACTGTTCTGGCAGCTGTCAGTGTGGACAGACTGCAGCGCTTTTCCCTACTCAGCTTCAGGAAGACAGGTTTACCTCAAAGCGCTGTACAGCTGCAAGTGTAGCCAAGGCCCACAGTGAGAAGTCTTAAAACTTTCTTTAAACATCCTCTTTCTCTTCTCTACTATGGAAATAGACTATTTCTGTATAACAGTCTGAGAGAAACTAGCCGAATTCACAACATGAAATTATACTTTTTGACTTATTCTTTATTTTAAAAAAAAAATTACTGTTTACAAAGTCTTCCCCTCAAAACATTAAAAAAACTTTTTCTAAAGTAAAACAAAACAATGCTTGGAAATCACTGCTACATGCAAACAGTCATACACACTTTGCTGACTACATCAGAATCTGTTTTTATCCAGAGCAAGTTTTTGTTTTTGTTTCTTATGTGCACAGTGATCCATTTCTCTCTTACCCAGGGTTGTAAAAAAACTGCTCTCAGGTAAAAAGCAGCAAAAATGAGTGATCCCAATTACTCCCACTAATGTTGACCATCTTTTTCTCTCAACTCCTCTTAATACAGTACTTGGTCCTGCTAGTGAAGGCAGGGGGCTGGACTCGATGACCTTTCAAGGTCCCATCCAGTTCTAGGAGATAGGATATCTTCTCTCCCCCTCCCCCCCCCTTGCTTACATTTTTACTCTCCCCCAGTCTGTGGGGGTCAGGGATGGGGGGGCTTGCTTTGTTCACACTTTAAGTGGAAAGAATTGGTGATTATTTTTTTTTTTCCCCCTTTCTCTGTTTGAGGAGGGATGGTAGTATAGATAGGAAACAATCCTGAAGTTAGGCCCATTACTACTAGGTAATGGTATGTGGCATGAAGTGAGGTGAGGAATTCTAGAATAAAGAAATAAATATTGGCGATAACTCTCTTAAACTGATTTTTTAAAAAAAGCCTTCCCCAAATAATGTAATAAATTGGACAGTTGGATAGAAAAAAGTCTAGAAAAATATGTTGAATAGCACTAGCTTGAAAAAAGTGAGTCTATTCAATGAGAATATTAGTTAAAAATTGAATGAAAAATACTCATGAGTGTGGGTTTTTTATATTTTTATTTTAACAAATTTCAGTTTCTTTCAAGTTGTAGTGGTCAAGGCCTTGCTTAATCAGAGCCATAACTGATGTGGAGATATTGAAATGTCATGTATATTGTTTTGTATCGCTGATTGTAAATCTGACTATGGACAAGCAACAAAAAACACTCTTAATAGAGTTAAACACTGTATTTCTGTGCCAGCTGCACAGCACTTCCTAAGGGATTGTCTTCACTGCAGAGTTTACTCGAGTTGTAACCTGAGTGTTGTCCCTTACTCAAGTCCCATCTGCACACACAAACCCTTAATGCAAGTGTGGTGATACAGGCCTTGGCTACACTTGGGGATCAAGTGTAGTTGCGCCAGCAGCGCTGTGAGAGCTCTCTCGCAGCGCTGCAAGTACTCCACCTCTCCGAGGGGAGTAGCTTGCAGCGCTGCGAGCGAGCGTGCAGCGCTGCAGGCGCTGATTACACTGGCGCTTTACAGCACTGCGCTCGCTGCGCTCGGAGGGGTGCGTTTTCACACTGTACAGCGCCAGTGTAGCCAAGGCCACGGTTACACCTCCTGGTGGGTCAGCCACCCCGAGTTAAGCTAAAATCTGAGTGAGCACAACTCAATCGCTAACACAATCACGCTGCAGCTGAAGTGTTATTTGCAGGAGACTTTGTCTGTGTAGGATCACCACATTCCCAAACAAAGGTATTGATGCTAACAGAAGCTTTTTTTCCATTAATATAGCTGCACCTACACCTGCGATTATTTCAGCATCGCTATGTCATTTAGGGGTGTGTTTTACTTTTTGTTTTTGTTTCACATTCCTGACGTATGTAAGTGTAGACCTAGCTGCCTCTTACCTGAGATAAGCTAATTTGAAAGGCATTCTCTTGAGTTAATTCTGCAGTGAAGACATAGCCTAATCCGTTTCTGGTACCTCTCTTGAATGTCTGTGCCTTCCTTTAGATCAGTGGCGCTCAACTCTTCAGACTGCTGTACCTCTTTCAGGAGTCTGATTTCTCTTGCATACCCCTAAGTTACACCTCACTTAAAAACTACTTGCTCACAAAATCAGACCTAAAAATATAAAAGTGTGTCAGCATGCTATTACTGAAAAATTGCTTACTTTCTCATTTTAACATATAATTATAAAATAAATAATTGTAATATAATATTGTACTTACATTTCAGTGCATAGCATATAGAGCAGTATAAACAAGTAATTGTATGAAATTTTAGTTTGTACTGACTTTGCTAGTGCTTTTTATGTAGCCTGTTGTAAAACCACGCAAATAACTAGATGAGTTTGATGTACCGCCTGGAAGACTTCTGTGTAACCCCAGGGGTACCCCTGGTTGAGAACCACTGCTTTAGATAAGGGATACATTTTTCCTGTATCCTATAAAGCTAAAAATATTGGAAGAATTTCCTAAAGAGCTTTACATAAAGCATCATAACTAGCTTTCAAAAGTGGGACTGAAGCAAGACCACCTTTCCCCAACTCTTTCTAAAAATCCTTACCCAACAGGATGAAATTTGATCCATTTTAAAGAACTTTGGAGTCTGATGTAATGAAGAAAAATAACATGACCATGTGAACATGGTGGTATTTGCCACTCAAACTTAAACCAGTTTCCGAAGACGGAAAGGTAGCTAGTAAATCCACTAGATATCAATCCAAAACAAACCATTTCTGCTAGTTTCTTCCATCCAGAGGGTTTATCTTCACCTTTCCCTTTCCATTCTTTCCAAATGGAAGGAGGAGTTAGGGTAGTCAGTGTTTTATCAGGATGATGTGCCATTAACAATTAGCCTTGCTATACTTCAGTATTGGGTTAGCAATCTTTTTATTTATTTATTTATTTATTTAATTTTGTGCAAGTAGGTAAAATTGGAGAAGGTGCCATTTCTAAAGTTTCTGAATTGTATCCAAGTAGGAAGTGATATGCTAGTTCCAAGGAGTGGAGCAAATTGTGAGAGGTGCCATGTAATCTATATTAGGAAGTACTAAGCAACCTCTTTTCGTTTTTATGAGCTTCTAGTCATTGTTTTAATTTGCCTTTTCCCTTCCCACAGAAAAAGAGGTTTTAATCCATGTGGAGCATTTATGGTGGGGGTACAATTACTATGGTGAGATTTAAGAGATGACTCCAATCTATTCTGAATGCAAGAAGGTCTTTGACTTTCATTAAATTCTGTCAAATAACTTACACTTTTTATGGAAGCTCTTTTAGCATCTCTGCTGTGCTGTCACCAAATGCTTCCTAAAATGACCTTGTATTCTGGTAGGTGACAGTGGTTGGGGGAGGGTGTTTGAACTGTGAAGATAACTAAATCATGAACAAGAACACAGATTTATTATTTTAAGTGTAACTTGACTGTCAGGGATACCATGGAAAGCTTGTTGGTCCATGTACGGGGTGGGGAATTCTCTGTTCAATTATAAATTCATTTACTCAATGACTGTTGACTTAACTTCAATTTACAGATTTAAATCTTGAAAAGAGCAGTCCAGAATGGTGTTTTGGAGCATCTCAAGTGGAAGATATGGGCAATATTATTTTAACACTAATTTCTGAAGTATACAGTAAGCAACAGTAGTAAACTTGGGTTTAGCTTTTTACTTTATTTCTCCAGAATGTTGGGGAGAGAAATAATTTCTGCCGTGTTTTGTAGATCACAGATTTGCAGATCCAGAAAGAGTGAACTATAAATTTGAAAGTGGTACCTGGTAAGTGGAGTGAGTGTGTGTGTGGGTGTTTTTACAGCTAAGGCATAAGTACAAAACCTGACCTACACTTAAAATTTCTGTACTTGGCTACACTTGCAAGTGGTCTTTGTATTTTTTAATGTGTCTTCTATTTTGCTGGGAAGCTGCTTTAAAAAAAATAATAGGTTGCTTAACTGAGATGAGGGGTTATAAAACAGAACTATATGCTGAGTATCCTATGCTGGACTTGCATGGTATTGGTTAAGAGCTGCTACTATCTCCAGAATTGTGGTGTTAATTATTATTGATGATTGTGAACACACTATCCTATTAAACAAAGATAAATAAGTTCTTGTTGTTAACCCTATTGACTTTGGCTTTGTTTCAAGTGATAGGGGAAAAAATATTTGCTCAATGTAACAATGGCATGCAAATGTATCTTCATGTGTCCAAGACAGTATGAAAAGCAACGTAGAATTTTTCTAATAAATTATAAATATTAGTGTCTTTTTAAATATGTTTAGAAATGACAGCACGGTTTATGCAATTGCAATGGTACCAATTATGATGCAAACTTCTTAATCTCACTCATCTCTTTTTAGCATATAAGATTCTTCTCAATGGTATTGCTAAATGCTTTCTAAGCAGTGCCTGCAACAGACATTAGTGTCAGAATTGGTCTTACTTAGAATCTTCATGAATGATCTCGAAGGAGGAGTAAACAGTGTGGTCATAATAATCACAGATGCTACTGGTATTTGCAGCTCTTTCTAGCTCAGTAAAGCAAGGGAAATACTATGATCTAAAAAGATCATAAATATTGGCAGAAAATAATGAGATTCATCCGGTAAAATCTATTTAAGAGGAGGGAGAAATCTGGACTGTAACAATGAAATCTGGGAATGAGAGTAGGCAGCAAGTTAGATAGGAGTTTGCAATGGAATACAAGAGTGAAAGAACAACGAAGAGTCCAGTAGCATCTTAAAGACTAACCGATTTATTTGGGCATAAGCTTTAATGGGTAAAAAACCCACTTCTTGCATTTAAAGAAGTGGGTTTTTACCCACGAAAGCTTATACCCAAATAAATCTGTTAGTCTTGAAGGTGCCACCGGACTCCTTGTTGTTTTTTGTGGATACAGACTAACATGGCTACCCCCTAATGCTTGAAGAGTGAAAGAGTTAATGCAATGTTGAGCAATCTGTATAGAGGCATATTCTTAGAAGGGTTAAGCATTTGATATTCTGAAATATCAGAAACTTTGTGCTCTTCCTGTAGACTCCTGCTCATCTTTTAGTCTGTAAGATAGAATTTCCTCTGTATTCTGGTAGGTGACAGTGGTTGGGGGAGGGTGTTTGATGGAATTTCCACTGTACACATCAACTTTAAATGAGTCCAGTAAATGGTTGAAATGGACTCCAGAGATCAAAACAGTCTATTCACAAAATCAAAATTCTATCTGAGAGTCTATAAAATGCATCTGCCTTGATTGCTGCTGTGTAACACTTGACTCAAATAGTTGCTTGGATGTGATGCACAGGAGTGTTAGTGAGTAACAGAGCTTTATTGCTGGGTCCCAGTCACCTGACATGGGCCAGGGTTTCAAAAAGTTAAATTAACACCCTGTTGCATGATTCAGATGAGTATCCTCTTAACTCAATAGATACCAGAGTTATTGACTTGCAGCTGTAACTTTTATAGGATCACCTTCCTATAAATATGATGCCCTTTACAGCAGGGGGAGATGGGGTGAGAGAGAGAAGAGTGACCATGTTCAGGAGGCTAATTTCCCATAATGAAACATCTCATCCAAAGCTAAGCTACATGATGCAATTCCCAAGCTAGCAGCACAACTGTCCATGACTCCTCCAGGAAGCTAAATAAGAGCCATGGCAACTGGATTTTTTTGTCATATCCAGTCAAATATGTAGAGCACAATTGATGGACTTTATATTCTGTAAATTCACTGCTGTAGAATTTGCTGCAAAATCAGCCCTTTGCTGCAGAACTGTGCTCTAGTAAAATAAACTTTCTTTTAACTGTACTTTCTAGTCGGTTTGATTATGAGCCAAACTTCCCAACATGAACAGCATGTAAACAATGCAGTGCTGCCTGCCTTAAAGGTGGGAGGACAATAGGGCTACCATATGTCCGGATTTCCCCGGACATTTCTGGCTTTTCGGTCTATAAATAGCCGTCCAGGGGGGATTTTTAAAAATGTCCGGGATTTTCCCCCCGGTCCACTATTTATAGACAGAAAAGCGGCGGCCAAGCGCCGCTGGGCACCCAAAGCCCCTTCCCGGCTCCCCCCATCCCCTGCAGCCTTACCACGCTGTCCGGCCCCGCAGCTGTCTTTCCCCCTCCTCCCCTCCCCTGAACGCTCCGCCCACCTGCTCCTCCCCCTCCCCTGCTTCCCACGAATCAAATCTTCGCGGGAAGTCTGAAAAGAAGCAGGGGCAAGCAGGAGGCAGCAGCAGGTAAGCTGGGGCGGGGGGCGCGAGGAGGAGTGCTCTGGGGAGGCGCGGCCCTGGCTGAGCAGCTCCCTCTGGCCCGGGCTGAGCAGCGGCCCGATTCCTGGGCTCTTTAAAGCCGGTCCTGGTCAGGGGACGGTGGGGGGGAGGTTGGATGGGTCAGGAGTTTGGGGGGGGGAGCTGTCAGGGGGGCAGGGGTGTGGAGAGGGGTTGGGACAGTCAGGGACAGGGAGCAGGGGGGGGTTAGATGGGTCTGGGGTTCTGAGGGGGCT